GCAAAATATCTGTGAGGTTATTTTATTAAAGTGTAAAAAATATGTTCAGTCACAATAAATTTACTAACAATATCTATTATAAATTTTTTTTATTAAAAAGAAATTAATTATCTTCAATATTATTATTTTTCAAAAGTTTCTCCCATTTTTTTTTCTTTAATTCCAGAAAATAAGATAGTCCGATATTACAATATATTCACTTATTCTTTGCACAACTTTTAGCTATAGTATAAAACCATTTTGCAATCTTTTTAATTTTTGCTTTTTTTTTCCTTTTTATTAATAATATTGCGTAATTTTTCTTTAACCATTTTTTCATTATTTAAACTTAAAATATGAAAATTAATTAAGTTTCTATAATAAAAGACCCACCACTTTCATTATTTAAAATATTTAAAATATTTTCAAGCTTAATTTGAATTTTACTTTCCTCTATTTCTTGTTGAAGTCCAGAAAAACTAACAAATAATTCTTCTTCATCTCTTTCACCCTTCATATTATCAATTAGAAAATGTACGAATTTATTGTAAATTTTATCTTGATCCGCTTTTGGATCACTGGATTTACCATTTTTTCATTTTCTTCACTTTCTTCATTATAATTTACCATTTGAGATATTTGACTTAATGTATCGTCTAATACAAGTTTATATTAATGTAATTCATAATAATTAAAAATTATAAAATATACATACAAAAACAAATTCTGAACTAAAATTACTAATATCAGAAATTTTCTAGTCATTATTTTCATTATTTTCGTAAAATTGGCTTTGTTTTTAGTAACGATAGTTATTTCATTATTGTTTGATAACCTAGTTAAAAAACCTTTTTCATTTTTTGAAAGATTATTCATTTTTTAATAAAATAAATGTTATCTCGCACAGAGTTATTTATTTATATTATTTTTACGCCCACATATAAATAATTTCATGATTTTCATAAAAAGAATAAGTTTTTCTGGATTTATGTTACATAAAAATTTTCTAAAATTAAATAACGCCAATCTATTTTTAAATTGGCATTATTTATAATATTGCAAAGATATTGTTTGTTTATATTTTTTAAAAAGGTGTAAAATATAAACAATTTTTTACGCGTTTCAAAAGTTTAAAATATCTTAAATTTTTCTACAGAAACTATACAAAAATTATCCTATAAAAATTTTAAAAGTATATATTTTATTAAAAATTTTTTATTTTTCGATTCCTTTGAAGATTTAACG